TACAAGATTTACCACCGGGAGATCTACGAGCAGATAGCCCTCAGCCGCCACTTCACCATACCAGTCATCCACCCACCATCGACTTTACAAGCCTTACATCTCCATTGCCACCTCCACCGTTTCCACCACCTCCACCACCACCGCCACCACCACCACCACCACCAACACCAACCATTGCCACCACCACAAACACCACATTCTGTGGTAGTGCTGGACATATGCCTCGAGTGATTGCACCGACGTCTTCGCCTTTTCATTCTTCAGCCGGCAATATCACAGGTTTTCTGCAGAGAGCTTTGAATGTTAGTATACCACCGCCTAGCTCTTTGAGTACTGCGTCATCGTCCTGGGTACTCAATGACACCATAAACAACAAGAAGGGAGCGCCCAAATCCTATCCGGCGCAAGAACCGGATGAGGACGACTTGCCTTACTCCATTCGGCTTGCCAGTATGATACCGCTGAACTACGATTGGCCGGCATTGGGACAACTCCCAGCCACACAGGTTCCCAAAGGCCTCTTCTATCCTTTCGAGTTTGCAAAGCTTCGTACTATGGATCAACGCAAGCAGTTTACTCAGCAAGAGTTTGAGCGCATGCAGCAGTTTACGGAGAGTGAGTTGACACGATGGCCCCGCTGGCTTCATGAGTTACTTTCAACGTATGGCCAAGTTCATGAACATCGTGACAAAGTGGTGGATACTTTTTCTCGTGTTATGCATACGTTGGGGTACCAACCTGCTAGCCTCGTTTCATCCGGCCGCTCTTTTACGACTGCAAGCGGCAGAGTTATCTGGGCACTACGTACCAGAAACTTCCCGGGCCCTAACACCCAACGTGCTACAGGTGACACATATTATCAGTTTTACCACATGACGAGTCCGCAGGGACTCTTGGGCATACTCAAAACAGGAGTCATATTGCCCAGTGCAACTGACCGTATGGGCCTACCGCTGGACTACCCGGTCTCCGCTTTCTTTTCGTTGTTGAAGCATACGGACCAACAACAGACCGTTGAGGAGATCGTCTTGCAGTGTTCAGCTCTTTTCAACCATGCGAAGCAGCAGTCTGGAGTAATGCTGAGTGGATGCATAGTCGGTGGCCACACCAGGTACCCTTGGTCTTCCACCTGGGTAGAGCTGAACTTAGCTACTCGCGCTGGCTTAGTGCGTAGCAAAGCCACCGACAAACGTTGGGCAATTCGAGTAGATCTTGCCAAGATTGAGTGGATTGTTCTCATGTCCTAAGAGCCAGAAAAGACCTTTGAGCCTCCGGAGTAGTCTCTTGTATATCTTGTAAGCAGGTTTGCTAGAATCCAAAATGCTTCTGTTTCCTTCCTTGTTCTTTTTCTTGTTGTGTTTTTGCAGTGATCTCAAGCATCGGGCCCCAGTCTTCCTTTTCAGCTGCGCGTCGTTGCTTAGCATGTCGTGGAAAACTTGGCAATCAACGTCATGGGCATCCAATTCGCACTCTTCCAACAACAACAGCTGGACCTCTTCGGGATGGCAAACTCCTGAGAAGAGGAAGAGTGAATGGAGTGAGCAACAACAGTGGGACTACGGATCCCCAACTGGAGTGCCCTTTGTTGAAGGGTTGCCGGATGAGTTTAAGCCAGACAAAACTCATCTAGACACCAAGGAGATCTACGGTAAGACCATGTTGAGACGCTTAGCGGCTACAAGCTGGGCAACAAAATATCGCCTGGCAGGCCGTGAACTTGCTGATTTGCGTGTCACTGACTTAGTATGGAAGGGATGGAGAAACAACCATCTCCGCGCGTTAAGCCATGGACAATATGTTTCAGTCGTCATCGCACGCCGTGTTAGCGAGTCTGTACTTACGTCACAGTTTCTCAGTTCTGTGAGAGAAAGCCGATGGGACCTCGATGAGGTTTCTGCTGAATACTGTAGACAGAATCCAGACAAAGTCTCCATCAAGAGCTCTATGAGCTCTGACGAGGTAAAGGCAGCTAGAACTCTTGCGTTGTCCAATCATATCATTGATACGCTTCGTCCTTTTGCTGGAAGTGCTTCGGGTTCATCGTCTTTTGCAGATCAGAGTCAGCGAATTGCAGACCTTCAGGCCCAATTGGAAGCTGAAAAGGCTAAGAATTCTACTTCTAACCCTGCAGCCATGAATCAGCCTCCTGCCAAGCGCATGCGATTATGCAGTAAAACTGCTGCAATCAATGCACTGCCGATTCAAGCCCCAGTGGCAGATCCTACGCAAGAGCTTGTGGATAAGGCTTTGGATCCTGATGCCATTATCAATTCCCGAGTTTTCCATGAAATTCCTACTCAAGGGGTGGCCAAGTCGAACATCTCCAAGTGGCTGAAGAATGTTAAGTCCAAAGTGGGCCCGGAAAAGGCCCAAACCATTGAGAAAGCCTTGGAGCTATCTCAGCAGCTTCATGCACAACTGGATCCTATGGTTGTGCAACGGCTTCGTGACAAGTGTGCTCAGATCGGATTGCCGGTACAGTGGGCAACCAAGATCAAAGAGCCCGAGATTTATCAAGTTCTTATCGCAGCCAATCCTAGGTTACGACATGCTACCTTACCCTGGCAAGGAACCCGAACAATCCTCATCGCGTTTCACATTCGTTCCGCTTGGAGACTCTCTGAAGCCGATTTAGCTTCTCTCCGAAGTTGTGGATTCACGCCTCATGTTAGCGACGTGCGCGAAGATCCATACCTGTAAAGAGACGGACAAAAGGCAAACTGTCTGCTTCTGCCTCTGCCTGTTGCCTATACGTGTACAAGCCTGTTTGTAGCTTTTGCTCAAGTGTCTTGTGGCTTTTGCTTCGACTTGCCATGCAACGTGCCGATATTCTCGGGTCAGCACTGGATCCGCTTTTGCCTCTTCAGCGCTGGATACAGTACACTCAAGGCGAGTTGCAGTCTCTTCGAGCAGACTGCCGACATCAGTTTGAGCAGATCACTTCAACTGAGCGTATTCAGCAGAGTCAGCTTGACTCGTTGCAATCTCAAATCAGAAAGCTTGCTCAACAGCAAGCCCAATTTTCAGCTGAAATGACAGAGATTGCCAATACAGTGACAGATCTTTGCAGTAAGATACAGGAAACCCAGACCACGCTTAGAGGTCTTGTACAGGAGGTTCTCACACATTTCTCAACGCAGCAGCAATCAACACTGCCGGCTACACAGGTAGCCATCACGCAGCCGGATGTGCCGTAAAGAGTTTACAAAATCTACGGCTCACTTGTTCAGTAGTGTTTGTTGTAACCAACGTTTGTGGTTCTGACTGCGGTTTCTGAATTGCAGCCGTTTGTTTTTGATCCAGCGTTTAGACAGCTGCCTCTTGCGTCCATTTACCATGAGCGATCGACAGCAAGATGTTCCCGAACAAGCAGCGTCTCCTCGTGCGTCGTCGTCGGCACAGTCCCCTCAAGACGCCGCAGCACGTCGTGAATGGTTGGCCCAGGCCCTTCTCGAAGTTTTGGAACAATCGGGCACCGACTCACCAGCATCTTCGATGACTCTCGATAGTAACTTCCGAGAGATGCTTGCACAGTTCATCGAGACGACCACCAACGAAATCAACAATCTGAAGCAACGGGTAGCAGCGCTAGAGCTCCTCCATACGTAGATTGCTACTTGCGCCCTGCATCAGAATCAAAGTCAGGTGTACCATAGTACTACTCTTTGATTTCTTAGTCAACCGGCACAGACCGGGTAGGTGTGTGTGGAATTCCTGTTTCTAAGGAAGAGACCTTTTGAAGACTTTTCATCTTTGAAGACCATCGGAGATAGCGAGTAATGTTGAATGCAGGGGGGCAATCTGCCCAGTCAGAGTGATTGCCCAACGAAGAGGCTCTGACTAGGCACTGAAATCAGTCTGGGACGCTGGACTGACGTACCTGCAGTGATGTCAAAAAGAAGACATCTGCGTGAGCATGTAGTCTTGAGACTACAGACGGACTTGTGTAACCCAATTCTACCTTCTGTTCTACTTGGTTTTCTGAGTACTTCGTTCTATGTAGTTGGCTGGTAGAAGAAGTTGTAGAGCATCTGAAGACATTCCAACAATTTTGAAGCTCTGAAGACCACCTTTGTCGAAACGGTACAGAAAGAGTGCACAATTCGAAGCGTGAAGAGAAAGATGACGATTCGAGACAACCAGCTCAGACTGGGTATGTGTGTGTGTGTGTGTGACAACCCTGTATCCAAGAGCCTTCTCCTCACGCTCTGCAGCCGTTTACTACTTGCGATTTACATATAACCGAACTTGAGTACAGAGTACACAGCAGGGGGTGGCAGCAGGGTCCAGAGTCTGCCACCAACGAAGACACTCTGGATACCCTGGTGAAGCACGGTCTGATCAACCGTGTGTACCTGCCGTTTGTGACATCGTATATCATCTTCGCTGTACATTGGTTTTACTTGGCTATTATTATTCTGGTTGCGCTTCTCTGGATATGGCATGGGGCTAAGCCAAGAACCCCGCTCAGTCGTTCTCCTGCAGCTGTGGTATAACTTCAGAAACAGTCAGTGCTTGAGTTCATGTCGTCTGGTATGTGCTGGTTTCTGGATGGCCTGGGGCTAAGCCGAGAACCCCGTTTAGCGAGTACACATGCATGCATTGCTCAGTGCCAGTGTCCACCTCCTCAGTCCTTGCCGTGTCCTTCGGTGCGTTGGGGGTTCAGGCCGGCGTTGTGGTTTAGTTAGGCAGGTTGAGGTGTCAGCCACAGACTTTCTGCACTTCCTCTTTGCAGTTGCTGCCCATGAAGCTACCAGTCCGAAGTCTCTGATGTGTGGTCGCTTGAGACCTGGACATCAGGTGGTCCGTCGCATACCGAAACCTTCCTTAGCATTCAGTGTGTAGTCCTCCGGGACGGTGGTGTATGCCTCGGTGCTGCACTCAGATCCTCCAAGTTCGGAGGCGCCAAATTCAGTGTCAGCGCTTAGCTCAGTTCAATGAGGAGAGCAGTGAAGCCACACGGCCTAACCGCCTCTTATGGCACCCACAAATTCGGCTCCATGCCTACCAAAACGCGATTGCAGCCAAAGCAGCTTCAAGCACTCACACCCAAGGACTCAGGCAGGAAGAGTTTTGACCGTAACGTTCTAGTGGTTTTTCCTGTAGTAGTTGCTGTTGTAGGCTGTGCATTGCTTTTCTGCATTCGCCATGCTTCCTCGCCCACGTCCGTCCTGTGCACCTGGACTCCGGACGACTGCACCCTCTCGCTCACGATCTCGGCCACGCCCGAGATCTTCGTCCTCATCGTCTTCCTCTTCCTCTTCGTCGTCAACGCCGGCGGCACCTACGACCCGGACTGCGGCACCTCAACGTTCTACTTTATCCGGCCGAATCGCTGACCCCTTGCAGCCTCCACGACCTGTCGATATGGCAGCTCCAAGCACTCTTCCTGATCTTTCTCCACTACCTGCGAGCACGTTTTGGCCTGGTCTACTTCCTACTGGCTCAACCCCGCTTTCCTCCAGCAACGACCACTCGGTGCCTGCCGATGCCTCTGTTTCTACTTCGCTGCCGGATCCTTCTACCACCCCTACGGCATCCTTGACGTCTCCGCCTACAGCGTCTTCGACCTCAGCAGCTCCCTTCAGCTCCGCTTGCACGTTGGCAACCTTACGCCAGTGTTTGGCCACGGCAGGGCAACTTGACAACTATTTGCAATCCGATTATTCCACACGGCTGGGCTCCCTCAAGGCGGTGCACTGGGATCGAGTGTATACTGCATTGCTGCAACACAGGTCCTACCTCAAAGCGCTCCCTCATCGCCGGCAATGTCAACGGGAGTTACTTTTGGAGGGACGCCATTTTGAAGTGCCTTTCACCCTAGCGGATCCGATACTCACAGTGATGCATCTGTTGGTACATACCGGATACCATCCTCACAGTGTCCAGTTCAAGTTTACGCACGTCGAGGCCCCCCAACATCAACCAGACCAAGCAGGCAGACCGATGCTGATGGTCTCACTTCCCTTCCCGGCGGCGGCACAGCGTATTAGCGGGGCACCTGCCGTCGCGTATTTCGGTCACAACACTGACCTTCAGGCGGCTTTTGGCATCCTTAAAGAAGGCTGCATCCGCCCCAGCAATTTCGACCCCCTTGACGACTCTTGGCTACCAAGTCCAGCCTTTTACTCTCGCGCTTCTGTCAACAGCCTCAGCGGAGCCTTACGGGCTGCAGCCAAGTTCGGAGGATGGGGCTCTCCCCGTCCGATTTGTGTATATGGCCGAATCCCCATTTGCTATCTCGACATAGCCAATGCCGCGCCTGCCGACACACCGTCTTCAGTGCTCCCCAACACTCCCGCTGGCTATCACCTGAAGAGCGACAGTGGGGGCACCGTCCCCGAAAACGCGGCGAACTACTTCGTCTCCATCCTACACGGCAACGACAACCGTTGGGGCGTGCACTCCGCGCTTGCACAACCAGAAGGCATTGCCGTGTTCATGTGAGAGGAACTACAAAACGTGTGCGTGACTTGAGGTGCAGTATTGCTGGTCTCTTTGTTGTTGCAGCTTTATTCCTCTTTATTCCGCAGCCGTTTTGCTGAAACCTTTACAGCACATCATGGCCTCCTCCGCCTTCACTTCCGAATATTTGCAGCTGTTCTTGGTGTTTTTCGAGTCGCTGTCCGACAACCAATTTCTCCAGGTACGTGATGTATTGCTACGAGCTCATCAGAACCGACCGAATATTAGACCCACCGACACTGCTCCTCCTCCTTCGGACCACGCGGCCCCGCTCCCGCCGCCTCCTACTTTGACTCCGGTGACTACTACATCTTCTCCTCCGCCTCCGGATGGTCCTCCACCTGCCACAGTACCGGTCACCTCCAGTGACCCAGGCCCGTATTCTGGTCAAGCCGCTTATGACTCTCCCGGACCTCATGCACTTCCTGGCGGCAGTGTGGCCCCTATGGGACCACCACCGGTTCCTCCTTATGCGGATCCCTCTCAACGCCAGACCCTACCACGACTTCGGAGACGAGATCGCGACCGCCCTCGAGCTGAAGAACGCCCTCGCGCTGACGACCGGGATCGTGATCGTCATCGCCGTCGACGTCGTTCGGTATCCCCACTTCCTCCTGACCCTCTGCCTGCTGGACCTTCTCCTCCGATTCCATTACCTCCGGGACATTCAGATTCCATCCCGACCGGCCACACAGTTCCACCTCCGGCTGTCTCCAAGCACACCGGACGACCTCTTGCACCGAAGGTGGATGCCGATGGCACTCTGATTTATGTCCAGGTCAAGGCTCGACCGCAACTTCCTCCTCCACGCACCACAACGGCGACCACCGGCAGATCCCGCAGTCGGCGTCGCCGCCGCGACCGTGCTGGCCGAGACCGTGATGATCGTGATGATCATGACCGTTCCCGAGGAGCACGTGATGTTTCCCATCGCGATCGTGACCGTGATCGACATCGGCGTGATCTGAGGTCCACTGACGCCACCAGCGGAGACCAGCAGCGCCCACCCCTGACCTTGTACTCAGTCGCCCGGAACTGAGCAAAACATGTGCCACCGCCGACTCTGCTCCTCCTTCCTTGGATGTTCCGCAGCCATTTACTACATTACTCCACAGTCCTGCCCTTCCCTGGTGCCATACATGTTTCTCCGACGCTCTGCTCCTCTTTCGTCCTCCGCCTCCTCTTCCTGCTCGACCCTGTCGTCATCCACTTCGGCAACTGTCTTGGAGTACTTGGACGTATTGACTGATCCTTTTGTTCTCTTCCGGGTGTTCTTACCACTCTTGGAGCTTCGTCTACGCACTGCTCTAGTCCCTCCGGACTCGATGATGGACACTGCTTCTGCCCGTGCACCTGCCCCGGACTCCACTTTACGGTGCCTCTTTCCCATCGCTGAACTACATGGCCAGGCTCTGGCGTTCCGTACGGAACGCGACTATCACCTTCACTATGCCCTCGCCGAGATCACATTCCATCCCGGTGTCGTTGCTTCTTTGATGATGACATGCTCGCGAGCATATTACGCAGTACGAGCCCTTCTTCGTGATCGTGGACTTCAATATGCTTTCTACGTGGAACGCACACCCGATCTTCCACGGTCGCATTCTTCTCGACCGTGCCTCTCCATCTTCCATCCGTTTTGTCCACAACAAGTCCGCGGCATGGCGTTACACCGTGGAATTCAGCGTTGGGTCTTCATTCCTTCCAGCTACCAGGAGTTGGCTCTGATCCGGCTCGGACGTTTTTCATGATGCGCGCTCAGGACCTGGACAAAGGGACTATTTGCTGATGCTGCAGTTCTTAAGCGAGCTCCCTTCCCGCAGCCGTTTTTTATTTTGGCTCCTTTCGCCTGCTTCCTCACACCTCCTCCTCTTCTTCCTCCTCCTCATGCCCCCACACCGCTCTCGCACTCCACCTTCCCGACGACATCGTCTACCTGGACGCGATGAACCTTCTCGAAACGATCCTTATTCGTCCCAGCGGAACATGACGACGCCACCTCCCAGGTCGGGGTCTTTTCGGGACAATCGAGCACACAGCCGTATGTCTCCTCCTCGGTCCCGACGACATCGAAGCCGAACCCCGGTGTCCAACACGCCGGAACATCACCGCCACCACCGCCGTGACACTTCGATCAGGCAACATCGACATCGAGATCCTGATGCTGATTCTCCCCCACGACGTCGCCTACACTATTCCTCGCCACGGCCATCGTCTCGACGACATCCTCCTCCTTCCGACTCTGACCGACGGGTACCACACTCTGACAGCCGGGTGCACTCCGTTCCTCCACCTCATGATGATCCTTCCCACTATTCTTCCTCCGGTGCACCTCCTGCTCGACGTGAACCTCGCCGTGATCGCCGAGACCATCCTTCCGCTCGAGATCACCGCCTACTCCAGGAACGATACGAAGACATCCATCCGCTCGGCGCCAACTGGGAGACGAACGACCTGTTCCTCGACGCGAACCCGGACCGCGGTTTCCCTTTACCGCGCAACGTCGTAGACACTGCTTTTACCAGGCGTCTCGGCATCGCCGAAATGCCTATTCATCTCGTACCGGTTGTATCGCTCACCCCGAATGCGGGGCAAGCATGGATCGTTCGCTTGCTGGCTGCTGGCCGCCCTCTCGTGATCGAGATTTTCAGGACGCGACAGGAAGCGCTCTTGGCTTCGTTCATTATTCGGACGCTCCGCAAGTCATCTGACCAATACGACATCTCTGATGTCCTTAAACAATTACACGACAACCACACCGTTGCTACCGAAGGCCCACGCGACCTTACCATATGGGCGTATCGCGCTCAGCTCTTGCAACACGTGGCGGACAAGGTTGCTGCGACTATTAATGATCTACTACCTCACGGTGAAGCTGCAGCAGGAGGACGACCTGGACTTCTTGAACAAATTCAACGATTGCAGCAGGAGAACGACCAGCTACGGTTGCTTGCCGCTGGCACAGGCGCCGAGACCTTGCCTCACCCACTTGCTGAACCGAACCCGCCACCAGACGCTGCCACCAGACTCCGGGACTCCTTCTCCAAGTTTGAACGACTTGATCGCCGCGCCGTCCTCGCATCCAATTCCCCCAAATCCGCCTCTACCACCGATGTGAAGAAATGGCTCGACGGTCTCATCAAGCTCCATCGCGAATCCTACACACCGAAGCTCACCGAGTTACAGGGCATCTTGAAAGAGGCTGCTTCGGGTGTCCTGCCGCCCCTCGACAAAACCCTCGTGGATTGGGGATTGTCTGTCACCTTGGCTTCCAAGTTGTCGGAGGTCAACCAGCAAAAGCTATTGGCGATGACTGCGGTCCTCTCCACCTTCCAGCCGGCAGCTGTTCCTGCCACTGCTCCCAGCACATGAGCGTGTTCGTCCTCACTTTATTTCAGCTGGCACATGGTACAAACTGTTGCCATCGCGGGGGTGGCTGTATTCGAACGGAAACAGTTTGCAGCGTTGCACTGCCTGCCTGGACGTTGATTCACATGTTCGCGCCTTCCGCAGCCGTTTCCTTAGGGTTTTTGTTATTAATACCATGCCGCTCCAGCTCTCCATACTCCCTTGCGGATTTGTGCACCAGCTCCTGGACTACCACCAGAACTTGTTTGCGTACGCCGTGGCCGCGACTCACCCCCCTATTGATGGCAGTCCAGAAAATTCTATTCGGCAGACTACACCACATCCCGATGATGTCATGATCCGTGATCGCCTGGCCGAGCTTATTGACCGTCACACTAACCTCTTCTACGGGTTCTTCCGCGTTGGAGACAACTATTATCATGGCTTATTTGTTCTGACCTTCGACATCGGCGTCATCTCGGCACTTTCGGCCACTAACCGCCATCTCAATGATGCACTCGCCATCTACCTCCTCGCTCGCTCCATGACCACAGTTGCCCTTCTACCCGCGGATCGTTCTGAACCTCCTGATCTTCTTCGTCGGCGTCTTCCACTTGGCTCGGAGTTCTCCAGCATTGTGCGGTTCTCTTCATTGACGTACCGCTTGGGTATTCCCTCCTATTTGACTGAGTTCGATTGCACGGAGGTCCCCCGCAGTCGTCTGTTCCGATTACGACTCCATGCCTTTGGCACCGCCCTGCAGAGCAGACACCTACAGGACACCTCCTGGAGCGGATGATCGTGTGACACAAAGAGTCCTTACTTGCCCTTCCTTTTCACCACTGACCTCCTTCATTATGAGTTGTTACCCGATGTCCTCTGCCCGCAGCCGTTTCAGTTACATCGTTTACCATTCATCCACTTGCTCGTCACACCATGGCGAACGTGGCACCGGAGACGTTGGTGGACCTTCCTACTACCTCTGAATACCGTGAATGGGTGGCAGCGGCTAGAGAATCTCGCAGGGATCGCACTACACCGACCCCATCGACTACCTATGTCTCCCCATCCTCCGGAGCCAACCGTATGATTTGCACCTTCACCGACGTCCCGGTCAATTTTTGGCTCTCCCCCTTCCTCTTGATGCGAGGCTGGTTGGTTCCGTTCTCCTCGACCTCACCGCGACCGCACATCCACCAGATTATGCACGAGGTGATGACGGAGGCCTGTAACATGTATTATGAGGTTGTCCAGATCGCTGATAATTCTTACCATGGGTTGTTCGAGATCGTGCTCGACTTGTACCTCACCACGCAGCTCCTCCGGGTCAACCGCATCATGAACTACGAAGTCATTCATTTCTTGCACGGGCGCAACATCACACACTTCATCACTCGGGACGTTCATCAACCTCGACCCGCTCAACTACTACCAGGTGAACCCACTCCCCGTATGCGAGGACCCTTTCTGCCTCCACGCACCCTACCCATCGGCACCACCTACGCTGACGTGGTCCGGTTTTCTGATGCTGTTCTGACGTTGATGATCCCTCATGAAATCCACACTTGGGAGGCCATGGAGCTGTTACAAACCCAGCTACGGTGTCTACGCGCCCGCTCCTATCTGTTGTTGGGACAATGCCTTCATTACCACCGCCGCGTGTTCTCCACCACAGCTTCCGCCATTGATATGGATCCATGACGTCGTGTTCCGCATTCTGGCCTTCATGCACTCTTCCCGACTGCCCGGACGGAAAAGATTACACGCCCGATGCCCTATTTTATTCGGGTTGCACTCATTGTTCTGATTTATGGATCCCGCAGCCGTTTCTCCTATTGTTTACCACACGGCCGCGCCTTCTTCACGCTGAGCTCTATGAAACGTTCAGCCGCCGTCGCAGGGCTACCCATTCCACCTAATCTTATACGTCTTCGCGTTCTGATTCCGGCATGGTTCCTTTGTTGTGACCTACCTGATGGTGGTGGACATGCGGAGTGGTTTGATTTTCATGTGTGGAGCGACATGCTCATTGACCATGTGAAACAACGACTCTCGCAACTCCTTTATCAACGCCATGGACGTTATCTGCACCCATCTCACTTTCAGCTGCTCCAGGGCGACCGCCACCTCTCCTACATGAGAAGTACCACTGCGATTGCCACCGTCAAGGACGCTGAAATCCTCCGAGAAGCACCCGCCTGTGGAAGTCTACTTGAGGCCCGCCGGACGACCTGGCAACCGGCCATAGAACTACCTCAAGGTGCCACACCGACTTGGGGACGTTGACGGCAAAAGAGACCGCTGCCGTCCTCTGTGCCGTGTTCTTCGTTCTTTTATGGATACATGCCGCAGCCGTTTTCGATCATCATCATGAGTGTCCCCTTCCCCATTGCCTCGCTCGCGCACATCACCTCGTACTTACAGTACATCGATGTGATCTTGGAGTTACACGACGATGCTGAAGATTCCCCAGAAGCACATGACAACTTGCCTTTGTGGGTGACCAGGTCTTGCGATCTGATTACCAGCTCCATGCGAAGAGCACGGCTTCAATGCTGCACACCGCGATTGGTCCGACATGGATACCATGAAGCAGTTTTTCGCGTCTCCCTGCAACACG